TGGCCGTATTATTACCATCCGTGATAAATAGCGAGTGCAATAATGGGATTGTTGGCATTGTAACAACGCTGAGGGTTAACGTGAGGGAGTTCCACTTGATGGGTATATTGGGACGCATATATGCTGTGAGTGTGCTGGATGACTTACGCAGCAGATCATTATGTAGAACTTGCACCTTTGCTCCTTCTGTCCATCTGTTACAATGAAAAATTCTGAAAACTTGCGAGGTTCTAGGTTTCATATAGATTCGGTAAAAAAGGCAACCAGAGCTTGGATACCAACAATCGCAACCTAACCAACCGCACGATTCTACACAGTACGTATTGCCCGGGTACTTGTTACCCTTATCCAGTTCTGTGACCCTACTTGTGCTATTAACAGCTGCACATTTGTCCCCCTTGCAGGAGCCTACACCAGCGCATCTCTTGCTATCGATTACGTGGTATTCCATGTCCCTTGTGAAGAAATCTGTATCTTCTTCGCATTCTAGAAGTAGGGATTTCCATGTGACTCTGATTTCGTGAAGCCAGGTACCATTTTTCGTCAAACGGAAGCATGACTCTCGTCTGAACGGGTTGATGTACAAGATTTCCGAGACTTGTATTGAGCATATTTCCTTGTCTTCTGCTCTCTTACATATCGTTGAGGAATGAGAAAACAAGTCTACTTGCTGGCAACCTGATGCTGCACTACACAATAAACTGATCACGGCCACGGCACTGAGTAACTCAGTGAGGTCACGAGGGCGTTGTTGAGTACGTCGGAAAATTCTCCGAAATATGGAGTGGACTATGCGTCGTAAGGCGGTAGAGAGTGCCCATGCGAATAAGCGTATAGGTCTACCAATGACAAGAGGTACATATAAGAAGACATAGCATCCCGTAATGATAAAATATATCACTAGTGCTGTCATAGCAATAGCTCCTGCTGGCCAACATTCGGGATTGAATATTACTGCAGAACAAAAAACGCAATCTATGTGGTCGCAAAAGGGAGCCGGCTCACAGCTTGTTTCGATTATCTGGGTGGATTCCTTCTCAACGAACTTCCAGTGTATCTTATGTTCATGCAATAGGACTTGAGGGGGGAACGTCACGATTTCTTCCCTATTTGGATGATCTAGTGTCGCACAAAATTGTTCGGCACAGATTTCATATGAGGCATTAGTGTCGGAATACAGTTTTACGCCCCCGTCGATGCAGTGAATTGCTCGTGAACGAGGATGGTCTAACCCCAAAGTCTCAGCCTTGGTTGGTGCGATAAGGAAACACAAACCAAGTAGCATGAATATTACCGACAAAATTGAAACTGCAAAAGCACCAAAACCTGATGCTCCAGTGAGACTTGTGGTGAAGTTTTGGGGACGCGGGCGCAAGTTATAACTGTGGGTAGGTGTCACCTCTCGATCTTTTTCTGGTGGACCATCCCGTATATCTGTGCCTTCTCCCTGACTCGGCTCCGGGCTCACTTGACAAGAATCCTCTACAGTGCCCTCTAATTCTAGAGGAATCAATAGATTCAGTGGTCTTCTTATTCGTCGATTAGAAGGCAATTTCACTACTGCTTCTCTGATGACACCTTGCTGGTTTGTGGGTAAATCTTCAATTCTTCCCATCCGCCAGTTATGTCGAGGTTGAATCTCATCATGAATCAGCACTAGATTCCCAATTTTTGGTACTAGAGTTCCGGACCTCTTCTTTCCTACACTAGCTTGATGTTTTTCCCGAAGACTTGTAAGGTACTGGGAATGCCACACTTGCCAAAATTTCTCAGTCAACTTACACGAGCTCTGTAAAGCTTTAATAGCCTGCGTTTTCGTGTGGAGTGATGGAATATCGAGGGAAGGTATATAAGAAGAGTCGTCCACTTCGTCGTCGAGGGATTCTATAGGAAAATGAACTTGTAAATCCTTCTGAAGGAAATCGATTGGCCTTATAATACTTCCCTGATCGAAGCTTGAGTCGGAATAAAGTAAAGGCCGCGTATTGAGCAATGCTTCAATCTCAATGATCACCGTCGACAGTTCTTCGAAGGAGAGTACGGTCTTTCCTAGCGTTTTATGAGGGAGTACTTGACTGACTTGATCAACCTTTCATAAAAACCTCCTTGCCAGGGAGCATACGGGGTTATATGTCGCCAATCAATCTCCTTATTGCTTATCTCCCGTGCTACGATGGGATCATTTTGTGCTGCCGTTACACATTCCTTGAGTATAGTTTCTCCTAACAAAAACGTTGGTGAATTATCACTTGTTATGGTGGAAGGAATACCCCTCCGAGCGAAAAATCGACGAAGCATCTGGAGGAAAGCATTTGTCGACAGATCGGAAACAATGTCCAAATGAAGAAGACGTGTGACCATACAGGTAACGATAACCCCATAACATTTTCCCTTCTCCTTTTGATGGGACTTCGATAGAAAGCGGACCGAAATAGTCTAACCCTACATGCTCGAAGGGACGTGACTGCACCACCCTTTCTTTTGGCAGGTTTGGTTGAGCGGGGTACCGGTATGGCAAATTATTTAATTTTTGGCAGACAATACATTTCCTTACTTGCTTCGTCACTTGCGCTCTCAGTTGTGGGATCCAGAATTTCTGCCTTATGATGGACATGGTATGATTCACTCCTGGGTGACCGTGTCGATGGACATCCTCTATGATGAGTTGAGCCAAAGGGGTCTTTTGTAAGATCAAAATGGGATATTTAGCGTCGTCACTTATTTCGCTCTTTCCCAATCGACCAAAGCACCGTAGGATACCCTTGCTATCTTCCTGCACATTTAAGTTGCAGAGTTTTTGTAGGACTGCTGGCTTAATCCAACGTTGTTGATGCTGGCGTATTAAAACGGATTCCGCGTACTTGATTTCCTTCCCCGTTAGTGAAGTTGAGGAAAGATCCGCATTTTCTTTGAAAGGAATTGAAATCTTTAGTTCACTTGACCTATTAGTAAGAATCCGTAGCGCAACTACCCGCACAAAACGTATGACGTACGCCAGAATTCTTTTCGCTTTGGTAAGGGTATCAGCCCTCTCCCTTGATATGAGGTCTACGTGTTTTTCTGGAATTGGATGTATCGTACAGGCGGCGTTAATCCCAAAGGGTTCTTCGCTTTCTTCGTTTCCTTGCTGTTCAGAGAAACTAAGAAAGGAATTATTCTTTAGCTTCAACAGCTCTTGGAAAGGTGTGCGCAAAAAGGTTGGGCCGTGCCACCACATGTGGTTTATGAGGTCCTCTTTGTGCAGGCCCCTAGTAGCGCAGTCCGCACAATTTTGACTTGAGGGAACAAACATAAAGTGAATTTCAAAGCCTTTCGACTTCAGATATTCGAGGATCTTCTTGATTTCCCTAAGTCGGTTTCTTATCATCACCCCTTTTTCTTTTTCCTCTGTATGTTTCAGCCAGTTGAGTGCTATTTCGGAGTCGCTGAAAATGTATATCACTTGAATCTTGATCATAGTATGAACTTGGGTGACCAGGGCATTGACTAATCGCATTGCCAAAGTCACTGCATTCAGTTCCATCTTTGGCATCGTCATGGAAGACCGTATGGAGGGAAGCTTTTCTCGAGCCATCAAGAGACTTGCAGAGGAATCTGCGCACGCATATGCACATGTAGCCATACCCTCCATGCTTGCATCCGCAAAAGCCACTAAAACTTGCTCTTTTGATCTTTTTGAAATGACTCGGGGTAGCTCTTTGCAGAACCCTGTCATGGTGGCCACAATGTCTGTCCATTCTTTTACTTTTGCCCCCGGTAAGAGCTCGTCCCAGGCATAATCATCTTTCCAAAGTGACTGGATGAAAACCTTGGCTTTGTGTGTTAACGGTGTCATCCAACCTAACGGATCGTAGATTGATGCCACGGAACTTGCCACGGTTCCTCTTAGTCACAGGGGCTTTCACTTCAATAGTGCATGCTACTTGAAACTTGTCACTGGAGGAATCCCACTTGATCCCGAGGACCTTTGGACTCTTGTCAGTGGACTTGTCGGAAGTAGCCATGCAGTTCAAAAGAGTGGAGTCGTTAGAAACAAACTCGCGTAAATTCATGGACAACTCGCGAAACATTTGCTTTACTTGCCGATACTTGTGGGTTGCCTCCGCTACAGTGTCCGCAGTCAGTAGCAGGTTATCTATGTATAAATTATTTTTGATTTCTCCCACAAGGTCTGGGTCATTTTTATACGAATTCAGATGGAAATGCGTTGTGGCGGCCAAGAGAAAGGGTGAGGTGTTGAGGCCAAAGGTAACCCTTGTGAAGCGAAGGGTTCTTATGTTCTCTGGACTTGGTGGTTTATCGTGATTATATAACCAAAGACACCTCGTTGCATCACGGTCGACTTCCTGCAATCGTACTTGCAAAAACGCCTTCTCGACGTCTGATATGATGCCTATAATCCCGAATCGGAAGCGTAACAAAATCCCAAATAGCGGCGGAAGAATTACGGGGCCCCTATGAAGGACTTCGTTAAGCGAGGGGCAGCCCTTATAGTGGGCCGAGGCATCGAAAACAATCCTCAATTTCGTCGTTAACTTGTGAGGTGTGAGTACCGCCTGGTGTGGGATATAGTGGATCACTGTACCGTTTTCTTCCTTCAGGTTGGGGACATCTTCAACAATTTTCAGCCGTAGTTGTTCTTCAAACACGTTATGGTACATTCGTAGTAGCTCTGGGTTTCGCTGTAACGAGTTCCAGGTGCTAACTAGTCGTCGCAGGGCAATAGCTCTGTTGTCAGGTAGTGTTGTGCAGTTATCCTTCCAGGGAAGACGCACATAATAACCATCGTCTCGACGCTCTATAGTTTCGTTAAACTTGTCCCAAACTTGCTTATCAATCAGGGCCCTTTCCACTTGTTGTGGTCCGCCAAATTCCTGAGTTCCTTCATTTTCAAGGGTCCAGTAGTGCTCCCACAGATCCTCTTCTGTCTCGTAGTCTGAATCTTTCCAGAGGGTATTAACTTGAACCTCTAACGACCAGTAGTTATCCCATTTTTGAACCTCTCGACATGATTGCACCTCTAAAACTTGCTGCGGTCGGCGGTATCTCCCTGTTATGAGGTTGCCCACTTTGGTAGGTAAAAGGTGCAGTCCCGAGGGAAGGGGTACTGGAGGCTCGTCTGCTTTCCAGAACTGCCACGCCTGATCGCACCCAAGGAGTATTAATGGCTGTATGAGCTTTCCTTTCTCACTTGAGTGACTGAAAGGCCTAGAGATTCGATTACTTGTAAATCCTCTTCGAACAACGGAGGAGGTCGCATTGGTTTCGTTAAGACTTCATGTGTGAGTAATTCCAGGTCATGACCATTTCCTTCAGTGTCTTGGACCGATACTCGCACAACGCGACACTTCTTCTTTTGAATTTCCTCTGAGCCAAATGTATGTAAAAGAAGGGATCTCTCGGAAACTATGGGTACTTGTAGGTCCTCGGCCAATGACTTGTCGATGAAAGAGATTTCCGCACCACTGTCTAAAAGGACAGGAATGTTGCGCATTCCTCCCGTTTTGTTGTCAACAACCTTAATTTCACCTATGGGAAGAAATGTGGTTGAATACTCCCGGAGTTCTTGTGCCGATTGGACTTCCAGAATAGTCGTTTCGGACCCATCTTTATGCCCTTCCTCAGTCACCATATTAATCTTCTGGGTCGTCTTCATGGGCCTTTTTTCTTTCTGATTCACCTTCTTAGTATCTCCCTCTTGCCTTTTCTGTGGCCCCCTCTCTGTGCTACTCACGATGGGTAAGGTTTTGAAGCAGCATGCTGTGTGATGAGGTCCCCCACATCGGAAGCAAGGTTTGCGCCTGCACTCTGTTGTCTTATGGTATGAGGAGGCGCAGAGTTGGCAGAGACGCTGGTCTCGTAAATACTTCGCTCTTTCTCTCGGGGTGCTGTACGTGGTGCAAAAACTTGGCTTGTGATCGCCTTTGCAGAACAGACAAAGACCGTCTGCTGAATCGATACGCTTCCTTTTGTCCTTTGCCGACATTTGCGGCGTGGACGGGGATCGATCGATATAAAGGCTCATCATTTCCTCTCCAGACAGGATGTCCTCAATGAGGCTGAAGAGTGTTTCCATGGTGAACGGTGTTTCTGTTGCGAGACTACGTCTTTTCGTTAAGACTTTTCTCTGAACATGTTCAGGGAATTTGCCCAAAATTTTCTTGACCATCCACTGGCTGTCTACATGTTCGCCTTTATTTTTCAGCTGCAGCACAATTACTTGAACTTGTTCGAACAATGTGCGCTGATCTTTAAGGGATTCGCTACGTAACCTATAGTGGTCAAGTCTGCCGATAAGTTTCTGTATCAGCTCTTCAGGGTTACCGTACCTAGCCTGGAGGAAATTCACCGCTTGGGAGTAATTTTCGGGTGTAACTTGGAACTTCCTAATAGATTCCTTTGCTTCCCCATCGAGCGCACTCAGTAGGTAATTAAACTTGAACAGAACAGGTAAGTCTCTCGAGTGGACATTGGCATTGAACAACTCCCAAAAGTTGTCAAAGTCCCAAATGTTGCCCGTAAACTTAGGAATAGGGAGCGCTGGAAGTTCGACTTGATGAGCTACTTGATTAGGAGGAGTGGTGGCCGTTCCTACCCTTTGGGGACGATGGTTGTAGCCGGAGCGTTTCAAAAGATTTCATCGAATATATTCTACCTTCTAGGATCGTGACATAGTCTAAAGCAGAGGTTAAGGTCTCTTCTGCGTGGTCTATGTACTTGTCTGAATCATCGGGCTCGGGGTTTTCCTCCCTGTCCAACAATAGCGAAAGGTCATTTAGTGCATTTTCCACCTTTTTGGTGACTAATTCAACTGCTCCTACCGCTTCTTCTAAACGGCGGAGGTTATCCAGGTTCAGCCTTCTAGAATTCTCTTCAGGGATCACTTGAATAGATTCAAGTTTTTCTCCTTTGAAGCGCGTCACAACTTGTTCCAATCGATTACAATAACGCGTTAATAGGCGCTTAGCGGTTGTTAGCTGCGTAACCATTTTGGTCTTCCCGCGGCTCTACAATAGTCTTTGAGGTCACCTAATAACCACACGGTCCCACGAAGACGGGGTTCAACTGGGTTGAAATCGAAAAAAAAGCGCAAAATGCGATAACTAGACTTCACCCTCCCTGGATGATAGTATTAGGAAAAAGAAACCGAACTTGATCCTCTCTGGATTACAAGTTTTAGTGGTCCCTATTGAAGGAAAAAATGCACTTGATAATAATTCACTGAACTTAATCCTCTCTGGATTACGAAGTTCAATGATTCCTGAGGAATAAAAATGAAAAAAAAAAAATTCAAAAACCCACTTGAGATTTAGAATTCGGACCTGAGTTCGCTTCGAAATCGGTAGTCTCGATGCACCATGTAGTTGGGGGCTGCTCGCTGTGTTGCTCGCCAAACCTTTCGGTGCCACGCGGTATATCTTGCCGGAACGAACAGAACACCTCCAACTTATTCTTTTATGTCAAGTGTAAGTATATGAGCAACAAACAACGACAAATATCGGAGTTGCTATAACTTGACACACAACCTACAACTTGACACAATCTAGGATACTTGCCCAATCTACCCAACTTGTCGAGAACCCTAAGAACTTGCAATCGATGAGACGAGGAAAAAAGGAAAGTTGGGAAAGCTAGCGCCGAGCTAGCTCTGGGGCAGCTCCTCTCTGGAGACGACGGCAGAAAATG